TCCTGCGCCTGAAGCAGCCTTTCGTGGGGGGCCTGGCTCCCTTCGCCCCCGTCACCCTCCCGCGCTCTCTCGACCTGTCCACCGACCCCCAGCTGGCCGCTGAGAAGATCAACAGGTTCATGCAGGCCGTGACCGGGTGGAAGATGGGCAGCCCACTGCAGGAGGTCAGCCCGGACAGCAACCTCCTCTTCAACGCCCAGGTCCACTTCCAAGGTAAGGCCCGGCCTCGGCGGGCTCCGCGCCTGGGGGTGGCGGTGCTCTGTCTCCGTGGCCCTAACGCCCAACGTCTCAGCTGGGCACTGCCCGGCCCTGGAGGTGGGCAGGGCGGCAGACGTGGCCAGGAGGACGGGAGTGGCGGTCCCATCCGGCTCCGTGGATGAGTGTCGGTTGGGCATCGGCCCGCCCACCCGCTGCCCTATCTCCGCAGCTGCTACCCTGCCTCCTGTCACCCTCATCCTTTCATTCCCTGGGTGCGGTGAGGAGGTGTCCCTGGTGAAGAATAGACACAGAGAAAGAACGTGACTTGCTGAGACGGCCCAGCCACAAGCGGGGACCTGGGGTCCAAACCCACGTCTCCTGACCCCACGGCCCAGGTCCTCGTTCAGAAGGGCTGGGTTTCTGTCTTATTTTTTGATTTTGATTTTTATTGATTTCAGAGAAGAAGGGAAAAGAGAGAGAGAGAAACATCCACGATGAGAGAGAATCACTAATCGGCTGCCTCCTGCACGCCCCTTACTGCAGATGGAGCCCACAACCTGGGCCTGTGCCCTGCCTGGGAATGGAACCGTGACCTCCCGGTTCATAGGTCGACGCCCAACCACTGAGCCACGCTGGCCGGGCTCAGGCCGGGTTGTGAGACTTCATGGGCTGCTGGGAAGGTGGGAGCCCTTGCTGGCAGGAGTCCGAGTGGGCAAGCGTCCTGCCCAGAGGTCGTCCTACTGTGTGCACTGTGGACGGGAAGGGCCTGGAAGGTTTAGCAACTATCCAGGCAAACTCCGCGGGGAACACGCGCTGTGGTGGCGGCTCTGTGATTGACGGGTGGGCTGAGAGCCCTGCCTCTGAGGGACATGGATGAGGTCCGATCAGGATGAGCAACCTCGCCCTGGCCGGCGTGGCTCAGTGGTTAGAGCGTCTGCTTGTGCACCAGAGGGTCCTGGGTGTGATTCCTGGTCAAGGGCATGTAACCTGGGTTGCAGGTCTGATCCCCACCCCCAGTCGGAACATGTGTGGGAGGCAACCCATGGCTGTGTCTCTCTCACATCGATGCTTCTCTCCTCTCTCCTCCTCCCTTCCCCTCTGTCTGAAAAACAAGAATAACATCATCCATTACCAGGAGCTCAGGGCACAGCTGGATGCCTTTAACTATCCAGGATGGGATTTGGGGGCCCGTGGGCTCCGGCCGCCCTTTGCCCAGCACACTGACCCCCCTGGCCCCGGGCTGGCCCTGGCAGGTTCCGCCACATCCGTTGACTTAACCTGGAGAGATTGATTTAACCTCCAGGCGAGGATGGAGCCTGCAGGGGAGCAGGGGGGAGAGGCGGCCCCTTCGTGCAGATTCCAGCGTCTGTTTGGTTCAGTTTGTTGGTGGAAAAAAATTAGTCCTTTTTGTCTTCTCTAAACTAAAAAGCCTCCTGCTGGGCCTGGGGGGAGGGGGTGTCGCAGGCACACAGGAAACCTCTGCGCCACCTCTTAATTTTCCTGTGGACCTAAAACTGCTCTAGAAAAGGAACTTGAGCCCTAACCGGTTTGGCTCAGTGGATAGAGTGTTGGCCTGCGGACTGAAGGGTCCCAGGTTCGATTCCGATCAAGGGCACATGCCCGGTTGTGGGCTTGATCCCCAGTGGGGGGCGTGCAGGAGGCAGCCAATCAATGATTCTCTGTCATCATGGATGTTTCTCTCTCTCTCTCCCTCTCCCTTCTTCTCTGAAATCAATAAAAATCTATTAAAAACAAAAAGTAACTTGATTAAAACACAGCCTGCTGGACCTCAGGCTCCGGGCCGGGCTGGATCCGGGCCGGTTGCCTCATCAGCTCCTAGTGGGGGAGGCGCTGAGCCCTCGGGGTCCCTTGTGGGCCCACGTAAGGGGGCGGCAGCGGCACAAGCCCGGGTGTGTCCTCACGTTGGCAGCTGCTGCTCCCTGAGCGGCTCCCGGGCTGGGTTTGCAGGAGCAGGACTTGGCTGGCCCCGCGGAAA